TTTTTTTTTTTTTTTTTTTTTTTTTTTTTTTTTTTTTTTTTTTTTAATAGAATAGCAGGTAGTAAATAATTGGCTTAAACACTTTAATTAATTAGCTTTCAAGGCTAAGCATTTATTTTTGAATGTTCCAATAAAACGTAACTAGAATAGTTTAGCTTGATATTGGAAAACTAATTTTTTTTTTTTTAACTATTATCATCGTTTCACAAAAAATTTCAGAATTCATATGTGAATCGTTTAATTTTGCATTTCCTCACATTCAATCCAATTGTTGTACTTTGCAAAATTTGTTTGCTTTTTAAGACTGAGATAGGTTATTGAAAATTAAAGTGACGATCCATTAATATACATATTACAAGACGAAAATTTATTTTTCTGCCAACAGCTAAACAAGCACATTTGAAATAAGCTCGTACTCGTCGCTTGGAAAAAAAAAAAAAAAAAAACGTCTATCTGAATCGTAAAACGTTGGGTGTGTAATTGTAAACACGTGGCACATGGCCTTGCTCCCGTTAATATAACATTAACTGGTATCATCACAGCCAAGTGGCTCCAAAAACTCCAAAAAAAAATCTCATTTCGTGAATAACGAATTGTTTACCGTTGCACGTGTTTATGAGTACACTCAAGATAAAACTGTCAAGACGAATGGAGAGCGAGTAGCTCTCGTTCTTCTCTTCTTTGTATATTTTTTACAAGGAACCACAGAAAACGGTGGCCTCGTTAGGCACGTGCTTTATTCTCGTGGATCTTTGTTGTCCTCCTCCTCGTCGGCTTCTTCCTCTTTTTATATTTATGCATCGAAGACGCGAAAGAGGAGGAGAAAAGCTGCACGTCTGTTGCTCTCGTGAAAAATTTATCTCTCGTCGTTAACTCTTCCTCTTTAGAGGGTTACCATACATACAGTATAATATAGCGTGGCGGACTGCAAAAACTTGTTTCATTGAGATAAGAGACTTTTTTTTTCTTTCTAATTTTGGATGGGCGTTTAATTGCCTGCATACAATTTAAAACTACTCTTTTTTTAAAAAATATAAACTCATGTAGATTAGACAAGCTCTATCTGGGTCCACAATAAGTCGATGAAGCTCTAATTTCTCAAATTTACAGGAAAAAAAAAAAACCGTAGTATGGCTTATCCGTGAGATCGTAAAAAACTTGAGATTCAACAACTAATTATTACTGAAAAAAAAAAAAAAATTTTTTTTTAAATATCTCTATGGATGTTTTTTTGTACAGTGTTAATTATACCCACGCGAATATAAGAAAACGCGAGTGAGGCAAAAAACGATTTGACGCCATAACATTAGAAGCCCGTATTTTGAGAAAAAAACTTTACGTGCCGAAATTGTACGTGGAAAAACAGTTCGTATAGTATAAGTTGCAGCATCAATTATCATAATTATATACCTTTAGAGCGGGGGATAGATCATTCGACAAACATATACTCTCTAAATTTGAAATAGTAAAAATTTTACTATTTGGGAATGCGAACAAGATTTTCATTGGCAAAATAGTGAAGATTGAAAATCGTTTATTGGCGCCCAATCGTTATAAATCATTATTTCGAGTAATTCCAACAATAAGTTTACTAACTATTTTAAATAGTGGAACATTAACTAGTAAATATTCACGATTTCACAGTTTACATGCACTTTTTTGAAAAAGTTGCATATTTATCACTATTTCAAATTTAGAGAGTAGTAACAAAGACCTTACTCGAAAATGTATGTTGTTTTTTTTAATTTTTTTAAAATTAATTTTCCACGGGCACCAAACCATTTCCTCCTTGTTAATTTCGTCACGAGGTATTACTAAATATAAATTATTGTAGCTATTAACCACACCGAGATTACATCTTATCTCACGCGCCGCCGCTAGCGCAGAATTACATTTTTCCGGCGTTGCGCACATTACCATACGCACACGCGTGTACATACAAAGGCCAGCCGCCCGGACGGCGATAACAATAAAAAAAAAAAGAACAAGAATAAAAAAAAAAAAAATAAAAAAAACTAATCACCGATTGACGTCAGAGAAAAAGCTAACGACCGACCGTGACTAAAATTTTCAGGTTTCGCAATAAAAGTTGCGCCCACGACGTTTACAACATGCGCCCGATTGCAATAGCCGGCTTATCGTGCGCGTTGCTACTGTGCCTGGCCGGCGCGACAGAAGTCAACATCTACTCCCTCCAAGTTTTCGCCATACCCATCGTACCCCAATACTTCAATTGGTCGTCCAATGGTAAGATTTTCCACGCCTTTACTCTCAAATGTTCATTTGACCACGCCATGAAGATTTTTTTTTTTTTTTTTTTTTTTCGACTCTTGATTATTCCCTTGATCTGATCGCCCGAGGTTCGTTGGAACTTGGAAGGTTCAAATAAAGATTTACCAACATTACAGTCTTTGCGTCTAAGGTGTTGCCATTGGCCATTCATAATACGATGTTACAATTTATTTTACGTAATGATGACGTTAGGAAAAAAATTATCACTGGATTCGAAGTGTATTCAAGTGTACACATTTGAAGCGTGTATTCGAAATGTCCGTTTTAACAAATGCATTTTAATAGTCTTGATAAACGTATCAAAAACAACAAAATCGATGCTTCACAAACTATTTCACCTGTTCTATTAAACTAAACTATTTTTTTTTTTATCAACGATTGACATAATATCACTTGTAAACATGTTGAATCTGTGACAGCCAAGTTTTTTCACTCCATAGCCTTCCTAATTTGGTTTTTCTCATTCAAAATTGTCATGTTAAGTGGAACTGGTTTACCACTTGGTGCATCATAGCTTTAAATTATTATCCGTGCTACCACTACCTGTTGTATTAAAAAAAAATTTGTAATTACACGCTTTAAACGTGTAATTTACCACTTGGATTTACAGTGAATGGTGGTTTAAGTATGTATTGTAAATAAATCAACGAACACATCAAGAGAGTTTTTGATTAACTGCTTGAAAAAAATAATGAAAAACATTCATTTGAATGACGTTCAAAGTGTCTATGCTGTGTCTTTCGAGAACCAAAAAAAAACAAGTGTATATGCCTATACTTTTGGAATAGGTATTGGACCAAGATATTGTTTCAGTATAACTATTGAAATAAAAAAAATAAAAAATAAATAAGAAATAAAAAAAAATCTGTTGCAGTAGGAAGGAACGAGTACAGGTACGAAGCCTCGCTGCTCGGCTCGCCGGACCTTCCCTCCTGGATCCACTACACCTACAGCAAACGGACTCATCGCGGCTACCTGTACGGCGTGGCTCCGAAAGACCAGAAGAGCTTCAAGGTGCACATTTACCGTTTTACGCAACATTGTTTACCTTCAATTGCCAAAATAAATATTATTTCAGCTGGAAATCATAGCGTTGAACAAAAAAACCTACGAGACGAGGGACAAGATACTCGAGGTCATTGTGTTGGAGAACGACAGCGTGGCCAAGTACCAAATACAATTGAAAGTTAACAACCTCAATGTCGAGGATATGTTCGATCGCAACAGAACGGAGGATCTCTTCGACATATTTAGGTGAGTATCGAGTATCGTATATAGCCACAACCAGAACAAAAAAAACTTGAATTAAACAATTTTTTCACCCCGAAAATTCCACAGAAAATGTTCTTACAAACGTTGGGGAAGGATATACATACTCTTATATAGTCGAGATGTTTCGCGACTCTTTGCGAAAAAATGCTCGACAAGAGTGCAACAAGTAACCGCTCTTCAAAGATTTTTTTTTTTTTTTTTTTATTCACCGTTCATTTATTGATACGTTAAAAATTATAATCCGAAATTCTTGGTTTTTATCTCGTTGACCGAATCAAGTCTCAAGAGTCGAACTTTGAGTTTTCACTCAAAAGAGCGAATGATTTTCCCTTGTAACTTGATAAGTACATGTCTATAAAAACCGCGAAATGGAACGGATCTGAGGGTCGAGATGCCAACCCTGTGATTGTTATTTTCAAGTCTTACTCTAGAGAAACACACAGCTCTGAATCGACCTCTCGGACGCTGGACGAGACAATAATAATGATAATAATAATTTTCTTGTCCTCGATGTTTCATCGGTTTCTTATTTTGAGCACACAATGCTCAACGTGCTGTGCACCCGAGGACACGCGCGTGTAGAACGGAAGCGCACGAAAATTTCCAGAAATCGTCAGGTTCCGCAAGGAGTATAGCCGGCCAGTTGGATTTGTGGTTGATATTGTTTCACCCGCACCCTCGAGTGGTCTATACATTTTACGACGTGTTTTACAAGTGCAATCGCTCGACAATGGCAGAAGCAATAACAATTAGCTTGTGCGAGCTGCAATGGAGAACAAAGAAATTTTTTAGCTTTTTATCAAGGAATTAAAATTTGTTATGAATCATTTTTATTTTTCAGCCCAACTATAAATAACTGCTTTTTATACTTAACGATTATCGAACTAAAACGGAAATTTTTTTTCATTTTACTAAAGGAACGTTTGTCAACGTACTGGATTTCACTATACACGGGGTACTGTTTGATCGATTTATTTTTCTAAATAAAATAATTTTGTGGTGTCAAAATTGAATTTTAAAAATACACGATTGATCATTGAGACAAAGAATTAAATGAATAATGGCATTTTATAAAATAATATAGAGAAAAACTCCGTGAGGGCCCATTATACCTTAGTACACGACGTTTTTAACTTTTTTTTAAAGCCTTTTTAAAAATTTTTTTTACTAAGTTGCAAATTCATTCATTCAATGACGAACGCGTCCACTGTTTTTTTAGACGAAAAAAATAACTTTTGGATTCCTTCCAAACTAAGTATTATAAAATATTTTCTAAATATCATCGTTTGTACAGTATAACATTGAAGTTTTTTTTTTTTTTTTTGTAACATTCCAAAGTTGCAAAAAAACCATTTTTTTACCACGCGCGTCTGATACCCCGAGCACCCATTTTATGAAAAACTAAAATTACATCAGTCTTAAATATCATAAACAACAATTTTACGCTTTTTCAGAAAAAACATCTGGAGGAACGCCACAGACTTGCAGCTGACCTTCTTAGCGCCGGCGGTAGAGCTAGGCGCGCGCTACCCCCTGAAACCCGGCGAGCAAGTGGGGTAAGGTTAAACCGCGTACATTGTTAAATCCCCTATTATTCTTTAAAACCCGTTGATTGAAAATTTTCGTGGTTTCGTCACAAAAATAAAAAAATAAAAATCTTGATTGATGATTCTAACCGTAAATGCACACGACAGCTATGAGTTAGATTAACCCACAATGTTGATGATTGTGAAAGATTTGGAGAATTTTTTTTTTTTTTTTTATTTCATTCTTTTTTTTTGTGAATTTTTTTGTTTTTGTTGATAATTTGTTAAACGATTGTAAAAACGCGGTAACGTACAAACTTTCGATTCTGAATGTGTTCGAACAATAACTTGTGTATTACTTCGATACGAATCGGTAACAGTTTTGGAGATTGAAATTACAATAAAATATGAAAAAACTATCAAACGTTCGATAAGCCATTTTGGTGAGTGATCACGCGCGTAAGTCATGTACACACATAGGCCGAGACGATGACGTAGCTTCGGTCACGTAAGAATAGCTGTTGCCTGGAAGAATGAAAGGTGTTTTTTTTTTTTCTTCGTTCCTTTTTGCTCTCCGCAAAGCGACGCCACTTGGTTTTAAAAATGTAAGAGAAACAGTAATTTATAGGCACCCGCGCGATACTTCCATTGTTCCTGTACTGTTGTACATCTTATGTATTGTACATACGACCGTGAACGCTCGTTGCGCGGACTGTGAGTGGAATTCTTACGCGTAAGTAATCGTTGCGTCTAGTTCGAGAAACAAAACAAAAAAAGAAGAAAAAACTCCTCGACGCGTACCTACGAAGTGAGGAAGGGTTGCAACTTTTTTTCCCCCACTTACGAAAAATTGTTTCATACATCTTTGTTATTACTTCAAAATTCCTATTCCTAAGGGTCCAACATACGTAAGGGTGGTAGTCATCTAATCAGCGTTTGCGTGTGTCGAAATAGTGCGCAATCGCATAGTTTACGATAATACAAATCAATATACAAAAAAAAAAAAACAATAATAATTGAATCGAGAGGGAAATGCACCGACAAGAACTGTAAAAATAAAAACTATCCATCCCTCCATTCCATTCCATTCCTATCCATGGATATATGTACATATACATTGTATACAGTTTAGGAGAAAAGAAAATTATTTTCCAAATTCCATAAAAATGTTGTGCCCCGATCTGTAAGTTTCCGAAAAATAAACCAAGACCCAAAAAGGATGTCACGAAACGCGTGTCGTAATTACGCCGTATTCGTGTTTCCGGTGATAAAAGTAATCGCTCCCGTTGTAAGTATACTTATGCCTTGGAGATATAGATAACTTCAATGATTTCTCGTTTGAATCCATTTCCATTGACTGGTTCGATTTTCCCGATTAAATTAACACCCACCTCACGAATTTCCTTCACTTCACCATCGACGCACACTGTTTTCATTTACCGATCCACACTCAAGGGTATACCGATACTTCCAAACCTACACGTCTCTCTCTCTCTCTTTATTTTCCATCAAGAACCACAAATCTTGCGACTCCAATTGCACATCACGTGTTCATTAAAATAAAAGAAAAGAAAAAAAAACCGCTACACCAATCTTATTTTCACCCCAAAAATTAAAAATTACAGCTAATCGCATAAACGTACTATTTTTTTCCTCCGTAAACCTCGAGGCGTGTTACTTGCGTGTAACCCACAAAACCCACCCAACATAGAGAGCTTTCAAAAACCATGTGTGTATACCTATATATACACAAAACGATTCATCTCGCACACGTGATATGGAAAAGAAAACGTGGAGGAAGGGGGCTGGGGCCATACGCGTATACACTCGCTTGTACAATATATAGGTACCATAAACACCGGATGGACGCGCGCGGCAAAAGGAAACTAGAGGAAGAAGAGCCAAAAATAGACAACTTCCATATACCTCCAACCCCACCCCCCCCCCACCC